AGGGATTCTTATTTTTTCAATATTTTTATTCTCTAGAGTTGGAGCCCTTTTAGGGCAGGGACTATTTCTTTTCCATCTTTACTTCCTCGGCTCTAAAGGGAAAGTGCTTAATATATGAATTAATTCCCATGTGAAGACACAGTTGGAAAGTAATGAAGGTCATGTCCCTTGAAAAGGAAATAATTGTTCGTGAGCTATAATCACCTCCTCTCATCCCCTTCCCAAAAATGATGGCAAAGAGGATGAGGTAAAGGCTGGGTCCAGAGCGCTCTTACCACACCCTGAGAGCCAGAGATCACTTTCACCATAAATTTTAGAAAAGGCTATTTCTTACTAAATTCTAAAGCTCTGAAGTATTCATTTTACCACTTTGTCCTTTTTCTGAAGAAGAAAGAATACTTACAAAGTCTTGTTTGTAATTAAACAAAAAAATCTGATGAAAATAGCAATGTTGCCATGAAAAGGCATGGAGGGTCTTCAAAGGTATGTCACTAAGTGAAAGAAGCCAGTCTGGAAAGGCTACATACATACTGTATGATTCCAATTATGTGACATTTTGGAAAAGGTCAAACTAAGGAAGCAGTAAAGTGATCAGTGGTTGCCGGGCTGGGGGTCAGGGAGGGGGAGAATAGTCAGAGTATAGAGGAATTTTAGGGCAGTGAAAATACTATGTATAATACAATAGTGGTGGATACACGTTATCCATTTGTCCAAACCCATAGAATGTACAACACCAAGAGTGACTGAATTATCAACTCTGGACTCTGGGTGATTACCATGTATCAGTGTAGGTTCACTGATTATAACAAATGCACCACTCTGGTACGGGATGTTGATAAGGGGGAGGCTATGCACGTGTGGGAGTAGGGGTTATATAGGAAATCTCTGTCTTTCCTCCTTAATTTTGTTGTGAACCTACAACGGCTCTAAAAAAAGTTTTAATTAAAAAAATTAGCAGTGTTAATTCTTCTAAAGACTATTTCATGTCCCTTTAACATTATTATTTTGGTTCAAGTTAATTTTAAAGAACTTGTTTTAAAAGTTACTTTTTAAGAATTTTCTATGTGAATATAGCCTCCAAGCAGTACCATCGACACAGGCCATGTGAACTGGCTTCCTCTCCTGTCCCCTGGAAGGACTGAGTCACAGAGGGTCCTAGTGACTGGTTCAGGTCACTGTTAGTCAGGGTCAGGCCTTGGAGTGGATGAGTATTTCTGACCACACTCACACAATCATAAATACTAGGATTTTTCAAAGCTTCTCTGGACAATTTTCATGTTTCTCTCTTCCAAATTTACCTGAAACCTTATATGTTCCTGGTAAGTGGTTCTAAAACAACTTGTTGGTATCAGGACACTTTTCTTTTAAAGACTAGAGGACTTCAAAAGACTAAAGGCAAATATAAGCTTTGCCAAGTTAGCTTTCCTTTACAGAAAATGCCTGCTTCAACACATAATACTATCCTGACACTGTTTTACCTACTCTTCTTTACCCATAATTTGTATGGTGCATATTATGTGAGAAAGTAAACAAATCCTAAAATCCTTAACTTCTGTCTCAATGAGTGTCCTTGAGTTCTTCTCTTCATGTCTTAAGCCAGCTCGGAAGGTGGCTGGGTTTCTCTCCGTACATTCACAGATGCAACAGTTGCACTACTTTTCACAAGTGATTTATTTCCCAACATCTTCTAAAATAAACAGGCAGGGCAGACATTATTTTCTATATCAAAATGGAGCTGAGAGCTTCCCTGGTGGCGCAGTGGTTGAGAGTCCGCCTGCCAATGCAGGGGACACGGGTTCGTGCCCTGGTCCGGGAAGATCCCACATGCCGCGGAGCAGCTGGGCCCGTGAGTCATGGCTGCTGAGCCTGTGTGTCCAGAGCCTGTGGTCTGCAATGGGAGAGGCCACAACAGTGAGAGGTCCGCGTACCGAAAAAAAAAAAAAAAAAAGGAGCTGAGAGCAACATGGACCTATTCATGTATCTTCCATTCATGCTCAGGAGGCAGACATTTTAGTGGAAAAGCAGATGCAGATGTCTGCATACCCCACCCCTGACAGGGTGGTTAGATTAGTCACAGCCACTCTAAGCCTCAGAGTCCTCAACAGTTAACTGAGGAGATGAAACCCTTACTTTATTTAGATTGATTTTCTCATGCATCATTATAACCTATAGTTTGATGGCTCATATTTGATACTCCTAAGAGTCTCCGAACAGATTGGCAACAGATTCAAACACAGTTGTAAAACGAATGGTTGAAAAAATATATATATTAATGGGAGGAAAGAAAGGTAGAAACCATGAGATACAATGACAATAAAGCAATGGTGTATATAAGAGGGTTTCTTACTCGGGGTGCAGGATGACTTCAGGTAGTCCATGACCGCCTGATGTTATATGGAAAATTCTATACGTATGCACCTGTGTGTATTTTTCTAAGAAGTCCATTCTTCGGGTCTTCAAAAGGGTCTGAAACCTTTCCTTCTCCCCCAAACTGAAGCTGAGGGTGGTTTTTCTCTGAATTCTTTAGTGAGCTGGCTAAACCTTGCTTTGTATCATGAAGACATTTCACATATTGTTTATGTTTAAATTTGTATTCCTCAGCCCATTTAAAAGCTTGACTGAAAACTATTGAGAATTCATTCAAATGGCTTCTCTCAGAAGCATTCATTATGCTCTGTGTTCACTAATTTTTTCTACCTTAATTTATGCTGATTTTATATATATGATTAACATTCTCCAGACACCAAACTCCTAATTAAATATGCTGAAGTGATTTAGGATTTGGGATTATATTGTAATTTTTTGTAGCCAACAGAATTAGGTATCATCTACAAGATTTGTCTAGCTGTTTCCATTGCTTATGAAAGGAGAGGGTCTCCCTCAACTTGGGCAGTTCTACCTTAACTCTGGCTCTAACTGGTCAGAACCATAAAGTGACCTCAGGAACATCAGCCCTACTTGAGAAGCCTGCAAAGTCACCTCCGAGTTTTTGTTTTATTTTGCCTTCTAATACTCTTCCCGGCAGTCTTGATCCTTAGTGCTTTCTTTTTTTTTCTAGAATAATCTAGAAGTTTTAAAGCACCCTATTATTGACATTATTATATTAATTTTATAAGCATGTTTCAAAGTAAACAAATGTAGTGTTTTTAATAATAAAAATACTATATATTTAAATGTGAAATCTTTGGTAAGCCTTTGAAAATACTGTAGCTTAAAGATAATTTCCAGGGACTTCCCTGGTATTCCAGTGGTTGAGAATCCATCTTGCAATGCAGGGGATGCTTGTTCAATCCCTGGTTGGGGAACTAAGGTCCCACATGCAGTGGGGCAACTAAGCCTTTGTGCCGCAACTACTGAGCCCATGTGCTCTGGAGTCTGTGCGCCACAACTAGAGAGAAGCACACGTACCACAACTAAGACCCCACGCAGCCAAAAAAATAATAAATAAATAAATATTTAAAATAAATAATTTCTTTTTTAAGAAAAAGATAATTTCCAGAATGGGGGGGGGAATGAGGAGAAGGATACGAAGTGTTGATTATACAAGGTGAATAAGTCCTAGAAATCTACTGTAGAGCATAAAGCCTATAGTTTACACACACACACACACACACACACACACACACACAGAGTAATAAAAGAGGGCAGGAGGAAACCTTTGGAGGTGATGGATAGGTTTGTGGCATAGATTGTGGTGATTTCCCAGGTGTATACCTATCTCTAAACTCATCAAGTTGTATACATTAAATATGTACAGCTTTTTGCATGTCAATCATACCTCATAAAGTGGTTAAAAAAAAGAGATAATTTCCATTTGTAGAGTGCTTCACAGTTCTTAACACATTCTCTCATGTCCTGCCTTATTTATTTCTCCAAACAACTCAGCAAAGCAGGCGTTACCATCAAGTTTTACAAATAAGGAATCAGGCTCAGAGGCTTTCAGCCCCAAGTCACCTACCTATTCTTGGCAGAGGTCAAAGTCAGGACTTTTGAATCTAGGATGGCCTCACCACATACCATGCCTCTTGATTTTTTTCTTAAGCTCCATTAAAGACAAACCTCAAATATGCATACTCTCATGTTAATAGATACTGGTAAGTAAAATAGAATAAAATTCTCTAGACCAAGGTTTAGGGTATTATTATTATTATTTTTTGGCCATGGATCCCTGGACAGTTTGGTGATATCCTTCTCCAGATAATATTTATAAATATGTAGAACGAGGGACTTACCTGGTGACGCAGTGGCTGGGAATCCGCCTGCCAATGTAGGTGACACGGGTTTGAGCCCTGGTCCGGGAAGATCCCACATGCCGCGGAGCAACTAAGCCCGTGAGCCACAACTACTGAGCCCACATGCCACAACTACTGAAGCCCACGTGCCTAGAGCCAGGGCTCCGCAACAAGAGAAACCACCGCAATAAGAAGCCCACTCACAGCAACGAAGAGTAGCCCCCGCTCGCCGCAGCTAGAGAAAGCCTACACGCAGCAACGAAGACCCAAGGCAGCCAAAAATAAATAAATATGTAGAACGAAAATACATAGTATTACAAAGGAAACCAAATATTTTAAAACATAGCTATTAAGATATTTTAAAATGTGTAATAACATGATTCTTTATTAAGACATTAAATATCAAGGATGAGAGCAATATCTAGTATAATTTTGAAATAGTGAAAACATAAATGATATCTCAATGTATCTGTAAGAACTGTATGAGGATATGAAAACACTGAATTTCTGTTGGTGACAAAGTACTAACCGCCGTGATTTGTTGCCTACATTCATAATGAAAGGAAATGCTACATTTTACTTAGAGAATACTGAAAATAGAGGTGTAATATTTTTTCCTCGTCCAAGTTCAATGAAGTCAATGACTCCTGAAGTCTGGACCCTGGGCCTAAGAACCCGCCCTGGATTCCCAGGCCCCTGGTCCATGCTTCCAGTGGGCAGCATCAATCCCTTTTCTCCTTTTTAAACGGCGAGAAGAGCGGCGCTTACCTTCCAGGGTCTCACACTGGACCAGGTTGATGTAGTCCCGCTGGGTCAGGAGGCCGGCTTTGCATCCTCGCACCAGGCCCTCCAGGTAGCCATGGTCCGCGTTGAAGTACAGCTCGGCGCCCTCAAGCATGGGGGAAGCGGTCGCGGCCGAGAGGGGCTGAAACAGCTCTGCGTCCCTGGCAGACCCCGAGGACGTGCACCAGTCTGGAAAGAGTGCTAGCAGTACTCCGGGGTTACCGGGAAGCGATCTCTCAGCTGATAGTCGGGGTTTCGTGACTAGTTTCCTCCGCTTTCAGTGGCTTTCAATATAGCCTGCCCAGCCCTGTTTTTACATCAACAGTGAGTCAGCTAGATAACCCGAGTGCACCCGGGAGCAAACCCTTGCTGGGAGAGGAGGGTCGTGAGAAGGGGGGGTCAGGGCTCCTTCCCTGCGAGAGCAAATGGCCCCTTCCCCGCTTTGCTATTGGAACCCTAGCTACAGCAGAATGTTGTGTAAACATTCCTTCCCCATCTGAGCTTCTGAGCTTTCAATTGTAAATTACATTTGTCCTAAGTGTCCTGAGGACTATCAATAAGAAGAGAGGACTTTATTTTTTTTTAATTAACTTATATGTAAACAGAGCAAACGTGAGCAGGCAGTTTGGATGAACCCTGAGAAGCTAATTCAGCAGCACCGTGTTTGTAAAACCAATGACTAGTAATGCCTTAACCTGGTCAAAGGTTCATAGCTGCTTCCCTTCCCGCACCCTGTCGTTAGAGGCAGAGACCAGAAAACAATCCTGGGAGCCGATACACAGTGTTGTGATTCTTAATAATAAGCCACTACCTTTGCAAAATCTGACCATTTACAAGGCGCTCGTCATTTTCTTTTTCCCATTTGGATCTCAGGATACTCAGACGAGTATCTGAACTGATAGTATTATTACTCAAATCACAAATAAGGAACCAGTTCTCAGAAGTCGGGAGGCAGCTCAAAATGCACAGCTTAATTAAGCCAGGACGTAATTGTTGTTTCATGCTCCCAAAAGGAATGCTTGTTCTCCCTTACACTTAGCTCTAAAATTGTATCAAATATCCTGAACACTATTTTACATATGTAGTATTTCACTTTCATATATATTGTTTCAAATTCTTAATTGATGTTAAGGTGCCAGAAATTCTCCAGTCTCTTCTCAGTATTTCCAAGACTGTGAGCCATGTGGCAGAGCAGTTCTCCCGGGTTCCCTTACCCTGCTACTCTCCGCCCAGGTGCCCCTTCCCAATAAAATCTTTTGCTTTGTCAGTACGTGTGTCTCCTCAGACAATCCATTTCCTAGTATTAGACAAGAGCTCACTTTCTGGCCCTGGAAGGGGCCCGTCCCCTTTCCTGTTACAGTTACATTGTGAATTGCAAATAATTTGAAGAAATAGTCTTTCAGTATTCAAAAAACTGGTTTATTCAGCAAAGAAGCCACGCACATTACATATGACTTCATTGTTTCATTTTTGTCCTACTCATTAATGTAAATAAAAAGATCAACCAACAGTCATTGGAACTACACTTGTTTGTCAATTGCAACCATAGGTTGGCTACAGATTCTAGAGTTGAACAAAGATAAATGAAAGCATACTGTGAAAATCAATGGAATATATGGGATTTGTAAGAAAGAGTATTATTTTATTGTTATTTGTAAATTGGGTAATATGCATCTTTGATATCATAAAATTTATGATAAACATATATACATATTTTGAGGAGAGAGCCAGTTGTTAAATATTTAGAGCACAACACAAAGTCTTCATAGTTTTGCTGAGAACTAGCCCTGAATGTCCACATGCTCAAAAAAGAATGGATTTTGTGTGAGTGTGTGCGAAAAACTTCAGTTTGCCATGTTTTATATTTATAAGCAGACAAGTTCCAATGTTTCTTTAAAATGATAGACATCTACTTTCTCCACTATTATGAAATTAGTGGATGAAGCAGGCAAAGTATTTCCTTTTCTTCACATTACTCTTCTAACCTAGCAAAAGCAAAAATGCCTCATTCCTGCTACAGGTACCTATCAAAAATGAGATCAAACTCATGGGATATGAGAGGAAACGCAGCACAGTGACACTAATCTGGAGCTTCTTTGTAAATGGGTCCTTCTTGTGAAAATGTAATAAAAATGTTCATTTCAGTGTTTAAACTACCAATGATGTTTAGGAGAGTGGGCTTTGGAGTGCGACAGAGTATGAGTTTAGATGACTTCCTCTCTCTGAGTGCCAGTGTTTTCATGCGTAAAATGAAGATAATAACAATCACCTCAGTTTGTTGTAAATATTAAATGAGATACAATCCTTAATATGCTTAGCAGGTGTGGGCTTGTGTGCTAAGAAGCTACTGCAATGGCTTCCCTTCTTCCTCCTGTTACTACAAGCTGTAATCCTAATTCTTTAACTACACTGAGTTCCTGAAAGCCAGGAAGAGTATCTTATCATCTTTCTGTCTCTCAAGTGCCTAGTAGCATGCCTTGAGGGCGAGCAGAGACTCAAATAGCTGTTTGCTGGATAAAATTGCTCTTACAGAGTCTTCAGTTCCACGTTTCTCTAGGAAACACCATATTTGGTAATTGTATCCAAAGAATGAAGGTATTGCGGTTTTGTAGCATGCTATACAAATATATGTATATGTGTATGTATGCTTATCTATATAGAATATATAGGACTTATTACAAATTTCTGTCAATTTTAAGAGTTCCCAAGAGTCATTAGCTTCGTAGCCATTCCCAGCCAAACAGTCCCTCGGAGTGTCTTTAGAGGCAGTGTTGTGTAGGCCCTCTACACAGTGTTGTGTAGGGCCCTGGAGTGGGCCCAGGATGCCATACTCAGTGACAAAGTCAAAGGCCAAGTCAAAGTCCTTTTCTAAAGCTATCAGCACTTCAAACAAATAAACTTTAAACCTTTTTATTATGGGACATTTCAAACATATATAAATGGAAACAATACTTTATAATTAACCCCCATGTATCCATCACCCTGCTTCAATAATTATTCACTCACGGCCAATCTTAGTTCAGCTTTACCAGGGATCACGAAGGTTTTTCCCCATAGGGCCAAATAGTAAATATTTTAGCCTTTGTGGGCCATACAGTCTCTGTTGCGAATACTCAACTCTGCCTTTGTAGCAAGAAAGCAGTCATAGATCACATAAACAAATGAGCCTGACTGTATTCCAATAAAATTTTATTTACCAAAAACATTGGATTTCCCTGGTAGTCCAGTGGTTAAGAATCCGCCTTCCAATGCAGGGGACATGGGTTCGATCCCTGGTTGGGAAACTAAGGTCCCACATGCTGTGGGGCAACTAAGACCACGCACTCTGGAGCCCTCCCGCCACAACTAGAGAGAAGCCCACGTGCCGCAACTAAGACCCGATCAGCCAAATAAATAAATAAGTATTTAAACAAACAAACAAAACAGGTGGTGGGCCAGATTTGGTCTGGGCCATCGTTTTAGGCCCTGCTCTATAACATTGCCTACTTCCTCCCTATCCTTAATTATTTACAAGTAAATCCAAGATATCATTTTTTATCTATAAATATTTCAGTTATCTCTAAAAGATAAAAATCCTTTAACAATAATATAATATTGTTATATATACTGTATTATATATTATAATATAATCATGACTCCATTGTACTTGAAGTTATTCCTTAATATTATTTTTTAATTTTTATTTATTATTATTATTTTTTTGTGGTACGTGGGCCTCTCACTGTTGTGGCCTCTCCCGTTGCAGAGCACAGGCTCCGGACGCGCAGGCTCAGCGGCCATGGCTCACGGGCCCAGCCGCTCCGCGGCATGTGAGATCTTCCCAGACCGGGGCATGAACCCATGTCCCCTGCATCAGCAGGCTGACTCTCAATCACTGCACCACCAGGGAAGCCCTATTCCTTAATATTAAATATCCAGTTAATGTTCAAATTTTCTCAGCATAATTTTTTTTACACTTGGCTTGTTGGAATGAGGAGACATTATAATTGGGTTACATGCCTCTTAACTTTCTTTTAGGTACGCCTTCCCTCCCTCTAGCCCTGCTCTTTGTTTAAGACACTTGGTCTCAGGTTCTGGAGAGTTTTTCACAGTTTGGAATTTGCTGATTACATCCTGAGGTGTCACTGAACTTGTTGGTCTATCTCCTGTTATTCCTATAAGTTGGTAGTTAAATCTGGCCACTAGATCCCTTTCATGTTAGATTTTTTGCAAGAACACTTCACAGCAGTATTGATGCTTCCATCAAGATGCATGTAACGTATCTCTTTTTTTTTAATGTCAGATGTCATTTATGATTACCACTTAGGTCCACTGTTTCATTCAGTCACAAAATGATTATATTTTAGTTTATCATTCCTTCTTCATTTATTAGCTGGAGAACTATATAAAAAGAGACTTTTCAACAACAACTGTTGGTTACCCTAGTTTACATTTCATATAAGAAAGCAGGATAAAGGCTTAACTCCTTCCATTTACTTACCAGTTTTCCAAATAACAAGTTGGCTCTTAGCATCCTCCAAAAGTGACCAACAAGGGTTTTATTTTTCAAAATAAAAAATATTATTATTAACATATGGATTTAAGCATAGTCATCCTGTTTTCTGATATAACCCCAGTAGTCTTTGACAAATTCCTTGCTTTCTGTAGACAGGCTGTTCCATGCTCATTTTGTTCAATTTTTACCCTGACCTGGAATCGGCTATTTCTCCAAGGAGCTCTGGTTTAACATTGTAGCTCTTAATGAGTTTTCGCAGAAAGGCAAAGTCTCCGCAGTGGAGTGGGCAGTTCAATAAGTGGTGTGATAGCCCCGCGCTGCTCACTGGAAGCTAAGGTCAGTACATGCAGGTGGCTGATTTCTAAGAGCACGTGTGCCCAGTAGAGACAGTGCCTTTGGAGATGGGTTTGTGGTTACCTCTACTTAACTGTTTTCTCCAGTACTTAAGTTTTCTGATTAGAACATATCAAAACAGAACAAACCTCCCATATCAGTCCAAAAAAACACATCATGCTGAAAAATTGAGTTTTAAAGCCACATGAACTTAACTACCGTGTACGTTCTTCAAGAATCCCAACTTGATTAAAGTGGGCTACAGTGAGAAAACCCAGAAAGCATGTGACTGAATTCAGAACAAGAACACAGCAGGCAAAGCAAGACTGCTCCCTTGACATTGATTCGAAACAGCTATCACATTGCGCAGCCAGAGTGTGTGTACTCCTGGTTAACTCCTTTCTTATAAGCCAGAGTGTTCGCCAGCTGTCATCAGCGTCACTGACTTTCTGGGCCACTTCAGCATGAAGGATCTCTCATCTGAGGTTAAAAGTGGGACCATTTATGCTTTGTTGGTTTTGGATAATTTAAAGTTTTAAGGGTGTTTTAATATTTTCTTCTTGCTAAAGAGGATACTAAAAGTACTTCACATGTTGGCTGGTGATGAAATCTGTTTTGTCAGTGATTTGTAATGTGCTGTTTGCCTTAATGATTCAGCTTTTATACTTTATCAAAATTATATTTTTGCTTTTATATGTTAATTAAGGCTGGACCTGATACAGTATGTGTCTTC